ACCAGTTTGTTTAATCGTATTTGTATTTTGGTGCTGAAGTAAATTTATAGTTCTGTTGGGAATTTCGATGCGATAAGTCCGGTCACCTGTTGGTTATTTAGTACAGTTTGATCTATAATATCAGTATAGTATCAGAGAGTTGCTTAGTATGTTCTAGGTTACAAAAAGGACTGAGCTTAGTAACTGTAGTCACCTGAAAACTATTCTAATGAGTCTGAAATAGTTAGGCGACAGTAAAGGACTTGGGAAAAAAGCAGTAAATAAACGACTAGTTTTGTGAAAGAACTACGTAAAAGATATGGCTAGGAACGATGAAGAAAGTATAAAAGAGAGAGGAATACCGGGTTGGGGTAGGCAAATAAACAAACAGCATCACCATAATAAGAGTTGGATGGTGATCATAGTGTGACGTGCTGACTGATAAAACTAAACAACTTGTGTTTCTTCAATCTCGTCAATCTTCCTGATAACACTGAATTCCACAGAGGAGTGTTTTAGTATATGCTGCCAAGTATCTTCAAACAACTCAAGCAGATAGTAAGCAGGAGAATATTTTCATTAGCAGAGAGAAAGACATGAATAGAAAAAAGTGTCAGGTATCTAAACATTCGATGAGATTGACAGTGCGTATATCTTCACCCTTAAGATAGCACCATAAAGCATTGCAAACTAGTTGTGACTCAAAAGCTACTTCAGATACTTGTACTACTTATTATTTTTTAGAAATACTACTCAGGTGTTCTTATAATGGTAGGTAGGTAGGTTTAAGCTTGAATCCGTGACCAATATAACTAATTAAACAAGTATTATTGCTGGACCACGAAAAGATTAGCGAAAGTCAGGCAAAACCACGTGTCCATCCGTCTATATCAACCTAGGACCAAGCATTACTGCGCAACAGTCCAAGTTGCCACACCTCATATCAGTACATCAGGTAAAAGGCAGTGAGGTACAAAATGAAGGTAAGAGAATGCAGTCAGAAGGAATATAAAGTATGAAAAGAGAGAAACGAAGAATGAGAAAGTGGTGAGATTCGGTATAGCGTTGTTAAGATAAGGATAATGTGTGTATACATCTGCACCACGTGTACAAAACATCTATGATCTTCAGAGCCAATATGACGTGTGGCAACTTGGACCGTTACACAGTAATACCCGGTCCTATGTTGATCTTGATGATGATGATAAGGGTCATCTGACTTAATGACTTTTATGGTGCTAATGAAAGGTTGTTTAGTCAATAGAACATGCTAGTATTTTGTTAGCAACAATTATATTCCGTCTCATCCTACTGGTTTCCGTGTCTAATATAATGAGTTTTAGTTAACAGTGCAATCTCTTATTGCTCCTTAAGAAGGTTTATTTTGCTGATTTATAATGTTTTCATCACTAAGAGTTTCTTCACCGTATACATCAAGTTTCTCCTATCATTTGACACCTACAGACGTTATGTTTATGGAAGTAGGGTTTAATTTCTGAGAGTGCAATTATTAATTTAGGAAAAAAATTTAGACACTGTGTTAGATTTTAATTCCATTTTGGTCTGTTTATTAGACATCACACAGTCGGAGAGGGAGAATGCACTCAGAAACCTTGTGCACATCCGTGCAGTAGGCAATGAGTCACACATGTCGTGTGAGGGCTAGTTGTACTACGTGACCCATCGGTTGTAAGCCATCTCCCTAAACCAATGAGCCATGGCTCTATATTCATATGGGGTATGAATACGAGCAATGAATTATGTCCGAAGCGTTACTCGGTAAATAATATTATTTCACTATGTGATACATCTAATAAACAAACTAAAATGGGAGCGCAATCATTCTTGACACCTTTGTTACATTACTTTTGAAGTGCAGTTCTTAACGTCTTGATCTTGAGTTGAGTGAATTTGTTGTTTAGATATGGCCCGTAGACTTAAAACCTCAATTTTCCAGCGGTTGGATTGTGAATTCACACCGCGCTGTGCCTACTTCGACATGGGAATTTATTAGTACCATAAGTCGTCCCATAATTACTGTGGGTGGTAGCCTAGTACATAAGCACATGTGCCGGATCCAGTTATGTTATAAATTTGTAAATGAATATGTTGTGGTGCATAGACAATGAATGCATTTTTTTCGCTTGTGTAGTTTTTTATGCCTGGTTTGCATTCTGTGAGCTCACACCTGTTAAAATGTTGAAAAATGAGTATAATTCATTCAACTGATCTTTCATTTTCTCCAGGTATTCATATATATTTGTTGGTGACTTAAACGTAACCATTCACGTGTTATTTAGCCGTAATTTGTGGGCGAATCAAATCAAAAATGGACCCAACATCGAGTGACATCATTTATTTACTAGATGCGTCTTCGTTTCCTATGCAATGAACAAATCCAAAAGTATCACATAGATAGTAAATGGCGATTGGTCGTCTTACAGGTTCTAAGATTTTGACTAGCCGTTTCGCGATTAGATGGTAAGGAGATTCAGACATGTCTAGAATCAAACGAAGGGGTAGACCGGCCTTGCGAATTTTTGATAAGCCGTAAAGTCGTGGAATTGTAGAGCCTGTCAGTTTGATGCAATCGCAGAGATCATTGGTTACTAGCTGACTATTTTTAAAAATTTTCAAAACATCAGCAAGTTGTTGTTCATTCAGTTCCGTCCTATTTTCCTCGTTACCAGGGTTGTAGAATTTGTTTTCATCCAAGAGTAGAGCCAACATTTTGTCAATATAAACACTTCTGTCGAGTATGACCATACCCGCACCCTTATCCGGACGTGTTATTATCAAATGTTTGTTGCATCTTAATTGTTTGAGTTGTTTTCTGTGCTCTTTTGTTAGGAAGCTGTGGCCCTTTGATTTTGTGCTGAGGTATTGATGACAGCAGTCTGTAGTGGTCGATTTGAAGCGTTGAAACTCGTGGTCGGAAGTCAGGAAAAGGTCGTTAGTTTAGCTAATTAGATTTTCAAACTGTACGTGTGTGTGAAGTTTCTTGATATATTGGTTAACATCGTGAAATTTCGGCTGTAACGACAAGGCCTATAATTGTAACTTGGATAGTGTTACTGAAGAACGATTGAATACAAATCTTTTGGGATCATCGGGAAACTGACGCTGGATATCGACAGATTTGAGACTTTGTAATAAGCTTGACTGCACTGATTGTGTTCACTTATTGGTAATTGCAGTGACATATTCAGTGAGTAATTTGTGTTCTTTTGGTGTCAATTCGAGGAGTGAAGAGAATTGTCGTGAGATGTTTTGTTCTAACTCTGGGATGCGTGAGATGATGCAGTCAATATAGTTCACTATATGACGTTTGAGAGACTTAACATTTGGATAAATAGGATTTCTAGGTAAAGCTTTCCAAAACCACTCCAGATACTCATGGTTCTCTATACAGTCATTTAGAAAACTAATCCTCGCATTAACTTGTGCAAGCTTAACAGAGTATCACAGAGACCTATTGAGTTTCCTCACTGTCGTAGGGTATTTGCTAGATTTCAATGTATGAAACATACCCGTAATGATTTAAAGAAAGAACAAGTATTTCAGCGAAGAGTCTCTTTTCGGCGATTTCATTCAACTGAACTTTCTTTTTCCTCATGTATACATATATATTTTTTGGTGACTTAAGCGTAACCGTTCTCCTGTTATTTAGTCGTAATTTGTGTACGAATTAAATCGATTATTTCATAATGTTGTCATCGAGTTAAGATTATTTTCATTTCCGCTCACTTTCGGTTTCTGTTAGTAGCTCAAAGGTAATTGGCAGAAAGAATTTGATTGTTTCACACACTAACTCACTCTGAAAATTCTTTAATGTTTAAAGACTGTTGCATTTATGCCGTCGCCACTTATTATTCATCACAAGTAGTGATGTTTACTGTTTAAGCTTAGTAAATCTTTCCTATAGTTATTGGTGGTAATTAGTTCTCAATCCTTTTTGTCAAGGTGCGATCGAAGTGGAGTACCTACAAGGTGTAATTTTCTTAGGGTTAACAAATAGTACAAGAGTTATGAATTTTGACTACTTTCAGTAAGTTATGCAGTAATTTCATGAGTATTTTTTAGCTTCCGAGTGTAAGTAATTATGACTCATTCAAATATAATCAGTTCAACTAAGTAGTTTTTATTGCTGTAAATCATCTGAGACTCCAAGATATCCAGCAGTAATAAACACAGAGTAGCCTGCCAATCTTTTCTTTGTAGAAACGCGTAAAAACAGCGTAGACATCGTGGATTGTTTAAAGATGCAAGTTTAAATGGTGTTAGTTGGTTGGAGGCAATCGGTAGAAAGCCCTGGACCTAGGTCTCGTGCTTTTTGGCACTCATCAGCAAGGTGTGTCTGCAACCTCGACGGAACTCTTGTCTCACCCGGGACTCGAACCCGCGTCACCCGGTGTTGTAGTCAGCGACTTTACCACTGAGCTATTCGGGCCGCGATTGACCTCCTGTGGGACTGGCTTACATGTATTGATTGGTCACGGGAGTGCAACCGATTTCATGTCGTTTAGTCCTGAGTGCAGACCGAATTCTATCGATCATATTTGCGATGTGGCAACCAAGCTAGGAAGCTTAGCATCGCGGTGCACATTAGTAGATGTTAGTTGGTTGGAGGCAGTCGACAGCAAGTCCTGAACCTAGGTTTCGTGCTTTTTGGCACTCGTCAACCTGAAATTGGTTGCACATCCGTGACCGATCAATGCAGTTTAAATGGTCTTCACACATCAATATATACTACCGTCATTGGTAAACGCAGAATTGGCAAAAATGTCGTTTTAACATTCGAATGAAGTCATAGGCTGAGAGAACATTTATGTGTTACCCCAAAATAGATGAATTTGACCGTACTTTGTATCACTGAAACTTCAACAAACAATAGGTCGTTCTTAGTTTATCTTGTGATTGATTTTTAATATGACTTTTCAAAGTGTTTTCTATAATTTTTCGATCATTTTTATTTAATCAGATTCGTAATAGTATTTTCTTTTCTAATCTTTTTATTCTAGATGGAGGCCTTATATTATGCCTAATTGTACTCATCTTGTTATCTTGAACACACTATGTCCGATGATATATGGGAGGAAAGTGCTGTCAAAGGCTTTAAATTTGATTTAGAGGAGCCCGATAATATTTCTAGTAACCCATTACTAATGAGTGTTTTAAATACATGCACTTGTTTATTGTTTAGCATATAGCCAAAGTCTTGTTGAATGTTTCACTGAGACATTTTGCGATGAACCCGTAGTTACAGGTATGAATTTCTCATCATTTTTTTACGATTATCATCTACATTTTTCTTTTTTTTTATAGACCTTAATAGTCAGTTCTGTACAATATGTCATAGTGTAATTATAAATCAAATTTATTACGAGAAGGATGTCATCTTCTGTTCGGAGGTAATATGTATTCAGCTATTTTGATGCCTAATATTAGTCTTGTTGGCTAAAGGCTATTACAATAGCTCTTGATGACTTTGTTGTTGGAGGGATGAGTACGTGGCCGTTGAGTACTTTTGTTTCTCAAGCATCTAAATCGATTATACTAAATTTGGCCACACGTTCTTGTGATGGTGATCTTATCATCAAGGTTAGTATCGTTCTTTTTTCGCACAAGTGTATATAAAGAATTTTTACCTTTCTTTCAGATCATTAATGATTTAAGAAACTCACTTTCTGAAACTACCTTTCAACAAATTTTACTAAAAAATTCTGTGGCTGCACTTCACTTTATTAGTTTTCTCCGAAAAACTGGACAATTAGTTAATCTGAAAAAGTACATGAAGTAAGCTTAATGCAATAGCGTTGTTTATGTATTTTTACCTTCCACTCCATAGAATTCTTGGATTTGTCAGGGAGAGTGAGGTAAGTTGTATAAATCCATGTATATATCCTATGAATATATGCACACCAACTTGATTTCTAGATACCGAGTTACAATCAGTTAATGCAAAAATTGATGAATATCTCTGCTGGTCACGTTGAAGAAGTGAATAAATATCTAATGGAGATTGCAGAGTATTATAAAAATTCTCATTTTACGACTTCATTTTCTTTATTATTGCAGATCTGATGTAGCTTCACATATTTCGATTAAACACCTTGTTGAAGTCTGTTCAGAGCTTGCTGTCCTTTTGGATTATCAAAACAGCTATGTATTTATTCATTTTTATTTAACTTATATACACATCTATATGCATATCTTTTTTTTACTAGGAAAAAGAGTGGAGTTTGACGTATAATGAATTGGCATTAGATGTGAATTCTCGAAAAATAATTACAACACTACCTAACAGTTTATTGATGCAACCATTGTGCGAAACTTTAAGTGTATTGGTCAGACTTGATCAAACAATCAAATCAAATAGTCGAGCTGAAATATTAGGCAAAAAGTGCAAGGTCAGTATTTTATTTAACCATTATTATTAATGTTAAATAACTTTATCAATTCTGATTGTATTGAAGTATCGTCACCGCTCAGTGGTTTAGGAAGATAACTATGAACCGGTGGGTCACGGGTTCGAGGCCTGCTCCACCTATTGAGGTTTGAGGAGCCAGGTAGTATCACTAACTCTCATACACTAGGTGTGGCTTATTGACTACTGTACAAGGTTGCTGTGTGCGTTTCGTTCGTTCGTTCGTTACTACTTTTCATGCATGAATGTATCTGAAAGTACATCTACTTGATTTTAAGACCACACACTACGTATTGTGACAAAAAAGAAATGCTTTAGATAGCTCTTATTAATAACAGAAGACCAGTTTGTTTATATTGTATATTCAAGACTGTGGTAACTTAAAATCACTAATTCTAGGGTTATCCAAAAAGTAGCACTTGTATATTATGCGGAATTCGCTTACTCAGATAACTACTCAATAAGTGAACTAAGTGCTTACAAATTATTTAGTGATAATGAATAGTTTACGAAATGTATGATTTATTCAGACTGAGGATTTTCATTTTTAACTAATCGAATTATTGTATGTGCCACATACCCGGTCACCATCTACCTTGTCACACATTCTTGGTTGAACCAGGTTCAGACTGGAAAAATGCTCAGGACGGATAGACTACAATATGGCATCATTACAAAACGTCTTTGACCGTTAGTCTGAGTCATAGTGGAGAATTGTAGACTTTTTAATTGGGATTTGCATGACAACAGAAACCAGGCGTTGGAGACTGTAGATGATATGGTTCAGAATCGATGTCAATGTCGCAAATGTATCCACATTTTGTCTTAATCTTAATCGTTATACTGAATTCAGTATCTTTTCGTAATTCCTTCCTCTCTTTTACTGTTTTTAACCGATTCTTTTGTATTTCTTCACTGGTCCTATGTTGATATCGATGATATGCGACACGTAATAATGATTTATTAAGTAATTACGAACCTTAGATGTTGGGTTAGGAGTATCAGAAAACCTTGAATATGTAGTTTGTGCCATTTGGCCTTCATTACAAAAAGATTACCATCCGTCAAAAGCGATATATTTTTCTTTAATATTCAGATTCACAGTTTATTTTTACACATTTTGACTAGTTACCAAGACACTCCATATATGAATCATGTATATGAACAAGTGATCAGTTGGTAGTCGTAACTAGTTTTGTACTGTGATTTATCAAAATCTATTGATCGATCATCATAGTTTAGTCTTCAGTCTATGTGAAAGAACAATATCATTCAGCGTATTTGAAGTTCTGTTGTACGAAAATTATTTTAGAAAACTTCTTTGCTAGCATATAATTCAGTAAAACGTCATACCTGACTAAATATGCACTCATCAGTCTCCTGTTCTATGTTTCTTTGATAAAGTTATATGAATTGACTTTAACAACCGAACTGTATATTATCACATACTTCCATATACTCTTTACGGATGATACCGATAAGGACGGTACACAGATAACCTCTAAGGACGGGTCGCCAGAACGTTGGGCAAAACACTTTGAAGCACAGTTCAGTTGCCCCAGTACCCAGCCGGAACCTGAATGAGACATAGATATCGGTTCTACAGCTCTCCCTGAAGCTGAGAAGGCAGTTTCAAACCCGAAACGATACAAAGCTGCAGGACTCGATGGTTTGCCATCAGAGGCTTTTGAGGATGATGGTTGAAAGTTGTTGAGTGGAGTAACGGAGGTATTAGGTAGTGTGGGAATTGGAGGTAGTCTCATCAGCCTGGTCTACTTCACTGATCATTTCAGTCCATAACAAGGCGAACAAGTCTCCTCGTGACAACCACAGGGGGATCAGTTCAGTTAACATCGCGTCCACGATCCCTGGCTCCACAGTTACCCGACGCTTAACTGTATCTCGAAAACATCAAATTTGGGAAATGGATACAAGTTTAAGAGCTAGACAAGGGTGCATCGACCAGATTTTTACCCCTCGACAAGTTATGGAACAGAGGCATACTGACCGGCGACCGACTCTCTCCATATTTCTTGAATTGAAGGCGGTATGAGACTCTGTCGACTGTAGAGTGTTCCGGCAGTGTCTGACTCTGGACTGGCTACGAAGCAAATATGTAACTTTAATCAGAGGTTTCCATTCGAGCTCATGGGCTTATTGAGAGTTGTCATATGAATTGGCGACAACTAGTAGTGTCCGTTAGGGATGCGCGCTGACAACTTTCCTTGTTAATATTGTTGTAGATGCGTTAGTGGACACATCTTTCGTTACCCCTGACTTCATAGGGACTGATCTACTCGCTGGAGGGCATCTGGTTGACTAAGAGTACGCAGTCGACACTTTCTTGGTAGATGAAGACGCTGACAAAGTTTCAGTTCGGATACAGAAGGCCTATTTGGCACTTTGCAACTTGTTTCTTTTTGGTCCTGGCTAGACACGCGACTACCTGTTGGGGGCGTCGTAGTCCGCTCTATTCTGATATAGGCTATGATGCAAGGCCATTGAAAGTGAAAAATGTGAAAATACTACATAATTTTGACTAAATATTTCTTCGTAGCATCGCCCACATATGGTGGGATCATAATGTGAACAATGCACAGGTCAAGCGGAAAGTACTGGGCAGGGAATTCAGGTCAGTCGACAAGGTTGTGAACCTTCAGTGAGCTGAGATGACTAGGACGTATCCCGCAAGCCAAACCGCCGCCTACCTTGACGTTTAATCCGAAGAGAAGTTGGATTAGGTTCAGATAAGGCCTGGAGTAACCAGACCACTTTTTTATCACTTGAAAAAAATTTTAATGTGTACTATTTGTAAGTACTACGGATCACAGATATTCGCTTCATAACCTTGCCTTTCAGATATCAGATGAACAGTTTAAGTGGTTAGTTATTGAACCACTTGTTCAGTTACAAAACTGGAATGATCTTGAATTTGTTTTATTAAAAAAGGTAAATTAATTTTCTGCTTGTTTCAAGTTATTGTCAAGAAATCATTGTCACGTCGTATAGAAGTCACTATTCCCAATGACCGTCTCGTTCTTCACCTAAATTCATTAGGCGCTGCAAACAAGGTAAACTCTTTTGATTATGATCGTTTTGCATAGATTTCGGTTCTGTACTCCAAGTGAACCACAATTTTTTTTTCAGTACTATTAGTTTGTGTTGCAACAGACTACAATTAGAGGTATAATTCGAAAACGTAGTAATTTGATCTAAAAGTACACAACATAACGACATTGTAAGCATTCACAACAGGCTAGGTTAAAAAATGTCACTGATTTTTTTTCAACAAATACGGGAAACGTTTGACAGTGGCAAGTTTAAAATACAACAAAATGATGTATTGAAGCTATTACGCATTAACATTTAGTGAAGTACTGCACCTGAAACTGCTTTTTCAAACACTAACTGAACAGAGAGACATAGTTTGTCTTTGATTTAGTGTGTGCAAAATTAGACAAATGTTCATTTATACCAGGTCCTGCATTGGTTATTTTCTTTTGTTTGAGGAGTAGTTTGTTTCGACCTTGAGAATGTAAAACTGAGTTGAACAAATTAGTTGCACCATGTTTTACATGCACCTCACATCAGAGCGCTGTGTTAACTGAATTCAGAGTGAGGTGGTAAAAACCTGAGTGCTCAAACCAATACATTGGAACAACCAGTCTCAGAAATGTTATCACACGTTATTCTGTTTAGGGACCAGAGATTTCCAAACATTATTTAGAACACTCAGTACTAGTAACCAGGTTTATTCAAAACAGCTGCTAAATCAATGGATGTGAACATTGTCTGTATCCTGGTTGTGCGCCATAGACATCAAACATCACCCTCTTGTATAAGCACTCGGAAGTTCCAATAAGTTAACCGAACCATAGTTTATGAATGATTCACTTTTTGAGGCCTTAAGAAACATGACTCCATTTTTGTAATGTTTCATAAGTTAGACTAAAACATTTCCTTATTTTGCAGCAAACTGATAGCTACCTGTGAACCTATATAGATTAAATGCACATTTATGAAACGTGGAACAAATACTTTGCTAGCAACCGTTTTTTTTTAGAAAGCTGAATAATCAACTACTAAAACTCAATCTTAGTTTGGCGTGCAGATATGTACCATAGAAATGGTTATTCGTACTGAATCCCCTACCGATAATTGCTACCTGAACATGGTAGTCGCACTAGCATATCACAGTAACTTAATGAGCTACACTGGTTGAAACCCTCGTTTCTTGAGCTTCTACCTTACCAGAAAGGTCTTTTGGATAGTCGTAAGACAAAAAGTAGCTATTACTACAATTTAAACTGATACGATTTGGTGGGAGTTTAAACTACTGACTAGACGGAGATGTGACAGCAGTAGAGTTTTTCTTGAAGATGATCAGCAGTATCATATTGATGCTGCCTTCCCTACGGGAAGAGCGGTTAGTTAAAAAAGGTTGGTCCTCAAAATAGCACACTCTCACTACCCCGCGGCACGCCAATGCTGGCGACGTGGGCTCATAGTCGGATGCGAAAGCAACGAACAAAAATCTCGAACATGCAAAAAGGCCTTATGTGACTGGTCTCAAGCGGATGTCTCCTAGACTCTATGGTTACACACTAATCCTTTTTTAAGTGTCTCTCGAAGAAAAAACCTTTTACAGTGTGGATAGCCGGATAGTGTCGACCACCCTCAGAACTCTATTAACACTCAATTTCCCTCATTTCACTCTTCACCTTCTATCCTTCCTTCACGTCTCTCGGTCAATAACCCTACATCATCTTATTCATCATCATAACCTCGCCTGGTTAACTAGTTTACTAGTTACTAGCCGGTCCTAAGCCCGGGTAAAGAGGGAAGGTTGGGCATAGGGCTAGCAACCCTACCCCGTAAAACAAATCTAACCGCTAAAGAAACTTCAAAGCACAAACAAAATATAAAAAATGAAAACAAACTTATTCCCCGCTGGAATCGGAGAGGCGAAATGACGCCAGTTGGTGAAAGCCTTCGGGAAGCCAATTGGCCGATGTGTCTTCTCTCGATGAAAGCGAAAGTAAACGTGGGGACATGGAATGTCCGCACGATGTTTGAACCCAGTAAGGCAGCCCAGATTGCAAAGGAGATGAGAAGGTATCACATCGAAGTGCTTGGGATTTGCGAAAGCAGATGGAATGGGAGTGGACTCTCCAAACTGTCAACTGGAGAATCAATAATCTACTCCGGTCACCCAGACGCCAACCACGAGCACACTGAGGGAGTGGCTATCATGATGTCCTCAAGAGCATCGAAGGCTCTCATGCAGTGGGAACCAATCTCCTCCAGGATCATGACAGCAAGATTCAACTCAAAAGGAAGAAAGGTCACAATCATACAATGTTATGCACCTACAAATAATGCAGAGCAAGAGAAAAAGGAGGAATTCTACAGACAACTTCAATCAACACTGGACAAGACGTCAGTTGGCGATATCAAAATTCTAATGGGCGACATGAATGCCAAACTGGGAGGGGACAACACGGGAAGAGAACTAACCATGGGTCGAGAGGCGCTAGGTGAAATGAATGAGAATGGAGAATTGTTTGCAGAATTCTGTGCATTCAACGATTTGGTGATTGGAGGCAGTGTGTTCAGGCACAAGGATATCCACAAAGCGACATGGACTTCACCAGATGGACACACTAAAAATCAAATCGACTTTATCTCAATCTCAAGAAAATGGAGACGCAGTCTACTTAACACAAGGTCAAGAAGAGGAGCAGATGTAGGTTCAGACCACTATCTAGTGCAAGGAACCTTCCAAATCAAGTTAAAAGCCTTCAAGGAAGCTGGTGATAGACCTCAATTCAAGTACAACACTCGGAAACTGAAGGATGAAACTACAAAGGAGATCTTCAAGCAGCCATCAAGACAAAATGGGAGACATCGAGGGACATCCCTGAAGAAACCTGTGTGGAAGAACACTGGAAGTCTTTGAAAGCTATGTGGAAAGAAACCTGCACAACAGTATTAGGAAGGAAGAAGAAAGAAGACAAGGAATGGATCTCGACGGATACCTGGAAGCTGATAGAGGAGAGGAGGATGGTGAAGCAGAAGATAAACCAGTGCAAGGATGCTCAACGACAAGAGGAACTGAGCACAATGTATAAAACACTGGATAAAGAAGTGAAGAAGAGTGCACGCAAAGACAAAAGACACTTCTACGACACACTGGCAAGTGAAGCAGAACAGGCTGCAGGTAAGAGAGACCTGACGACATTGTATCAAATAACCAGGTTGCTATCAGGGAAGAGACCAACACAGATGAAACCAATAAAAGATGAAGAAGGAAATTTAATTACAAAAGAAGAGAAACAGAGGAAACGATGGGCCGACCACTTCAAGAAGCTCTTGAATCGACCACCACCTGCACTTCGTCCAGAAATACCACCTGCAGCCGCTGAATTACAAGTGAACATAAATCCCCCAACGAAAATGGAAGTCCTGAACGCCATAAAGCTACTGAAATGCGGGAAAGCAGCAGGACCAGATGGAATACCGCCAGAAGCACTGAGAACAGATGCAGAGACAACAGCGGACATGCTCACACCACTATTGCAGAAGGTGTGGAGGGAAGAGAAGGTACCTGACGATTGGAAGAAGGGTTACCTTGTCAAACTGCCGAAGAAGGGAGACCTCAGTGCTTGCAAGAACTGGCGCGGAATCACTCTCCTATCCACCCCAAGTAAAATATTAAGCCGCATCATCCTGGAGAGGCTTAAAGACGCACTGGATTCAAAACTGCGACCGGAACAGGCAGGCTTCAGGAAGTACAAATCATGTGCTGACCAAATTGCAACGCTTCGTATCATCATAGAACAGAGCATAGAATGGCAATCAGCTCTATACCTCAACTTCATCGACTTTGAGAAGGCCTTTGACAGCGTCGACCGAGAAGTAATTTGGAAACTGCTTCAATACTACGGAGTACCGCAAACCTTTATCCGCCTCATTCAACAACTATATGAAGATGCCACATGCCAAGTAATCCACAATGGGAAGCTCAGTGATGCCTTTGAAGTGAAGACAGGAGTGAAACAAGGTTGCCTACTATCCCCCATGATATTCCTTATTGTGGTGGACTGGATCATGCAGCAAACAGTAGGCAGCGAGAAGAGGGGGATACACTGGACGACGGAAAAGAACCTAGAAGACTTGGATTTCGCCGATGACTTATGCCTAATGTCACATAAACTTGAAGATCTGCAGGCAAAAACTAACAAGTTGACAGAAGAGGCAGCTAAGACGGGACTTCAGGTGAATATAGAGAAGACAGAAGTGATGAAGATACCGCACCACCACCATCAACAACAACAACAACAAACTCCAATCACCGTCAACGGGAGAAACTTGAAGGAAGTAACCTCCTTCACTTATCTAGGAAGCACTGTTTCAACTACAGGCGGGACGGACGAGGACGTCAAAGTCAGAATCGGAAAAGCAAGACAGGCGTTCATTAGCCTGAAACCAGTGTGGAGATCTTCTGCACTCAGCATGCGGAACAAGATACGGATTTTCAACACCAACGTCAAGTCAGTGCTCTTGTATGGCTCAGAGACTTGGCGCGTCACGAAAGGCATTTCCAATAAACTACAGACATTCATCAACAACTGCTTACGCTCGCTGCTGAAGATCAGATGGCCAGAAAAAATAAGCAACAAGGAACTCTGGGAACGAACCAACCAAGAACCTATCACGCAACAAATATGCAGGAAGAAGTGGAGATGGATTGGCCATGCACTGAGAAGGCCGACTGAGGACATCACGCGTCAGGCCAGTCTCGAGTGGAATCCCCATGGGAAGCGACGAGTTGGACGTCCGAGGGTGACATGGAGGAGGTCATGCGAGGAGGAAATGAGAGCTTCTGGGCTGTCGTGGAACCAGGTTCAAAAGATCTCAGAGAACAGAGGTCACTGGAGGCGTGCTACTGAAGCCCTATGTTCCACTAGGAACCCAAGGGACTAATAATAAATAATATAAATAATCTTATTCATCATAGACTGACACCAGTTGGAGGAACATTTGAAACCTGGGAACACTGGGAAGCTGAGTCGTCCTGGTATGGGACTTCTCAGTAGTGCGCACCCATGACCCTGCCAGGGGTCAAGCCCAAAACTTTCGTTCCATGACCAATACGTCACCATTGAGGCAACTGGTCAGAGTTCATATTTCCAACTTCTGTCAGTTCACAACATAGCGCGACCATCACCCACCTGATGGTCGTGAGGACGAATATACACCGAAGACATTGGTTGATGACCGCGCTATGTCGTGAACTAACAGAAGTTGGAAATATGGACTATTAGATTCCAACCCAGCGGCTCAATGGTAACCTGCTGGCAGCGGAACTTGAAGGTTCTTGGCTCCATCCTTGGTGGGTACGCACCTCTGAGGAGTCCCATACCAGGACGACAAAGCTGCCCAGTGCCCTCAGGTTTCCAATGTTCTTCCAACTGATTTCAGTCCATGATGAATACCAACTTGGAATATATTCCGGTTAGTCTTTTGAGTTGTAGGATAAAGTTGCATAGTAGCACATTAGTTAAGGTTTTTTCGGAATTGAAAACATGTGTAAAGCATGCTACTCACGAAGTTAAATAAATCTTCCGGTAGTCATTTTATCTGAGCATCCAACTGTCATAATATTTGTTATATGGAAACGTTGCATGGATCTACTGTTTCAGTGATATGACGGGGTTGATTTATGTTCAAGCATTATTAGAATGAGTCTCCCAGCTTGGCAGTTACTAGTAAGGTTGCAGGGAATCCTTGACTTTGTACTGATGACAAATTATATAAACAAGTATCATGGCGAATCATAAACCTCAGATCGATAGGAACGTTTGTTCACCTGAAATGAAAGACATTGTTCAAGCTTTCTGTTCATCGTTCTGTCAGTTTACCCACGTTGAAGACAGGAAGCCTAGACAGAGTAATTGACTCTTATACCACTCTGAAAGACTTTATAAGTAAGTATGAGCCAAAGTGACCTCGATACACCGAAAGCTTATGCAACAGTGGAGTAGTGTAACTAATAAACGTTCGGTGTAAGGCATAGTGTGAACCACACTATATTCATAACTGTTAAATTACACATACCACTGGAAATGTCGATTTTCGTTCCTACACTGTTATTTATCACTTCTGATGTTGCTAGTGCACCGCTACCGAAGAACAGTTACTTCCAGAAACTAATATCTTCAGAAATACGCACAAAAGTTTGTTACATCCCCGTGGTAACCGCTTCTAAATAACGGTCAGTATGCCATTCATCCATTATCATTAACTGTCTATATGTGTGTTGATAAGGTTATTGTTCACATTCACGATAATAGGATTATTGCTGATTTTAATATTTTCTTGAATATCCTTTTAGATTATTGAAAGCTACCTGAAGCATATAAGTGATAATGAAGAGTTTATTCAAATTGCTGTTCGCTTAAAAATGATTGATGAAGCAGTAAAGGTTAGAAACATTTATTCGTATTTCTTTTTGGTAAACAATGCTTTTATTAATGAAATTTTCAGGGTTATTCATCTTAATATGTACGTTTGCTAACAAAGTAAAAGGTTTTTGTAGGGTAAGTTAACTGTGTAGCCAGTAATAGACCCTTTACATTAATTGTTCTTTCCCAGTTGTTAAAGAATCAGTCTAGTAATAGATAAAGCGTTATAAGAATACCAAACCAGGCATGGTAAATGATTATTACAATGTAACATGTGTTATTATTCTGTATAACTACCCAGACATTCAGGTGGATTCGCAGTGTTTCAACTTTGGGCCTATTTGTTGGTGTTCGAAAGTCTGAACTAACAATCTGCAGTTATATGGACATAAAAACTGCTGAAACACTGACATTTGGATGTAGCAGAGGTCATAAACATGTATCATGAGCCAAAGAATACGTAAGTAATAGAAAAAATGCTAGACCACTTTCAGCAGGAAGAATTGCGAATCAATAGTAAATTGAGTCTTCATACAACATTCCCTTCATTAGAGTCGTAACTGTAAACGCTACATGCGAAACATGAAGCCGTTTTTCGTAGACTTTCAAATTCATATTAATATAGTCACTTCAGCTGAACCCGTCATAAAGCTGTAGATATCATAGCCTACTACCATCAAATGGTGAAAGAGAATGCTCACCGATAACATTGAGCTATTATCACACCATATCCTAAATTAAAATTAGGAGAAAATGAACCGTAGTTCTTGCCACAAAGCCTGATGCTCATGGGCTTCATGCTATCTAAGACCGTATATGTGAACTGCTAAGGAGTCTCAGACTAGGATGCAACAGCCATTCAATGCTCAGATTTTTCCATCGGTTTTCAATGGATTTCGATTCGCGATAAAGGCTAGTTGATCGCCGAGAACCATCGGTTGTGTCGTAAAACCGAACTGTAGACTTACCTCAAACTTACTATTCGGTGAGACGAACTTTATTACTCTGCTTATTTTCACCTCTTTTCTCAAAATTTCCTAATTACCAGTATTCATGGATTAATGCAAAGTGAATCGGCTAAGAAAAGGCATACAGGATTGTTTTTTTTTAGGAATATCTACTAATTGATCATTTGCAACCTTGTTCCTGCTTTCACCAAGTTTATTTCCTAGATCTATAGATACTAAATACAACCTCTGAACCACCTATCCCGATTATTTTTTCAGCTTTGCTTGGAAAGGCGAAATGTGAACGCTTTGAAGGACCTTATGTCTCAAATCCCTGGCAATCATCAAAGGATGCAGGAAATATCTCACTATCTATCAGTTCCCGTAAGACATAACAAACTAATCATTATTCTTGTTGTTTGTCGGTGACAGGAAATGTAATCAGTTTTCTGAAAAGGTAACCTTTCCAATTATATTACGAAAATAAAAGCGAAAAACTGGCAATAAACAGTAGTCGATAGCCAATAGATCAGTAATAGGCTTTTAAAAGCACCGATAAACTTATGGAAGAGCAAAACCTCGGTAGTGTTACAAGACGTAATTTCATTTCAGTTGATTTCATAGATGTATCACATAGTGAAACTATATCATTTGTACTTCTTCATAGTGGAATATATCGAATAACTGAAATGAAATTACCAATAAACTAGTGCGGTAGAAATTTTTATAACGAAGGTGTATGTGTGTTACGCGTATTAAGTAACGTTACAAGTAGATTGCTCTTATTTCAATCTAACCAGTTACTGAGTTGTCTAGTGATAGTGTGAAATAGACTGATGGTGTTTACCTAACACCCAAAACCAGGTCGGCTAAAGAGAAGTTTATTAAACTTTGTTTTGCTGTTTGAATTGCGACTGTGTTGTATATTAGGTGAATATGATATGTGCGGAGAAACTTCTCTTTAACTTATGTCATTACTGAGGTGATCGACAGTATTTAGGGGCTTCTAAATCAGAATTTAGAGTGCTTCAATCCAAACCCCTTTAAAGAGATGTCTTGTTATTATAGACAAGTATGTGTACTGGAGTGCTGAAACTATGCTACTCCCAAGTAAAAATAATTTTGAGCACTTGACCTCCTCTGTCACATTGAAATCCATTCATTTGTCATACAATTTACCTACTTAAAACAAAACAACTTTCCTTTGTTTTTAGTTGAAATATATTTACGTTGCATATTAATACCACTAAAATAAACACTTTTTAACTTGCAGGTTGCGCAGTGGAAAGACTTCGTATGTAAATAAACGCTGCTCTTCATTTGACGCTTTTGATAAATACTGATGGGTTGGATTTTGAATCTCGACTTTTGTACGTAAAAGGATGCCGCCCCGCTGTTAGTTGTTGAAGCATACGTATTAAAGTTGAAAGACCCTGCGATTCAGCCCGATCAGCATGTCTCTGTGATCGTAAAATGATCGTTGTGATGCCCAAAACAACACAAATAACAGTTCTCATTAAGAGAGCTACAACGGTGCTCTCAATTTTACGAGAGAATCTGAAAAAGTGATAAACACAGTAATTTTACTGATTCTCAAACATTTAATTTGTCAAGTGAAATAACATAAGCGTTTGTATTTACAGCACAAAATGGTGGCGCTAGTGCCACTTTTTGACGAGTGTGGTCAATTCTCCCTAATCCTTCGAGAAATTATTGTTTCTGAAGATAATTTCCGAAGAAAACGTCTGAATCTAGGGGAAATCAGTAGATGCTGCGGGCAATTCAACAAAGCCCAAGCTTACCAGTTTCTTAACGGGAACTTCCACAAACCTTCAATCATATTACGTCACAATACAAACCTCAAACAAGAATATGCTTTTCTCTATGGAACCCCAAGATACTAGACCTGAATGTTTATCGGAAGACCTTGAAAGTCATATGCACCAGATTCTCATTTTTAACTGATCCTTCGATCTAATGGCTGCCCTTGGTTACCATATTTTAACAACCCAAGTCTTGGAAGTTCCGTTGTACAAAAAAGGCTTACTGAAGGGTAGTAATATTGAGAGTAATCACCTTTTCAGTGGGTTTCCAGAAAATAAATTCATACTGGTTGGGTTACACCAAACTGTTTGCTGCACAAAAAGTAAACACAAACCCAGTGACGCGAATTCTTCTTTTCAGGATTCAGCGAACCTTAGGAAAACTACAAGTGTGAGTTGAGACATTGGTAAGGAGACATAACTGCAAAAGACGGATCTGGTCATATCGTTTTGAGAAAAACTATCCAATACAATGAAGTACAGCTAGTGTGTCAGAACTAAATCACAGTAGTTATGAAGGGTCTTAAACCCGCAGATTACGGTCTAAAATCCGAGTACAATGAGTATTTTCTAAAAATGGTTGTCATTTAATTACATGCACTCATCAGTAGCACGAACTTAAGCTGTAGAGCGAAAGAGTGGGGGTATACATGGGCCTTACTGCAGTTCCCTACGCTGACAAACAGACTTCCGGCAAGCCATGCAGCAATTTTGAACGGTATGCTAAGTAAACGTGATAGAAAGAAAGGGTTGAAGACAAAATGAAGGAATTGTTAGAAAATAATCAAGACTTTTATTTTTTACGGTTTGCAAATTTATCCGACATTCCCCACTTCTCTTGTGACAGCAAAAAACAAACAGAGAATCTAAACAGTGTAATGGTCCGATTTCCCTTATTTCACATCACCAGGTCAATAGCTACTATCTTGACGTAGTGGTCGGGTTCGTATATCACAATGACTTAACGAACTATGTTGTTGAGATGCTTGTTCCTTCGAGGTCCTACAGTGCCAGAAAAGTCGCTTGGATAGTAGTAAGACGAAAAACAATTACCGTTGCGTAAATTACAACCATATGATGGGGTCTGAGAGCAAAGTCGTTTTCCTGGCTGGATGAAGTGGGACGGCACCAAGCTGTTTCCCTTGTATGGTCAGTAGTGCCACGTTGGTGCTGCCTTTTCAATGGGAAAGAGGGCGTAGAGGTCAGCCCCAAAAAACACCACATTCCTCAATGCTCCACGGTCTTCCGCTGCCGGTGACAGAAAAACAACACAAGAATCCACAGAAAGCTGTAGTTGAGTGGTCTCAAGCAGATGTCAAATGGGCTCCGATCACAAAAATCTTTTTCTATTTCAGGTACCTTAAGAAGAAATAGCATTCCACTGCCGAGACGCTTCCAGTAGTACACAAGACCAAATCAAAAATAACCTATCTTCCTCAACTCTATCTCGTCGCTTGCCTTCATCTCCCAAGACTTATATTAAACCTCTTAAGCCCTACTCAACCTCTCACTCTGCAACTATCAAAGCCATTGAAACCTTATTCTCAGTCTCTTAAGACTCCGCTATCGACTTCATGTAGGAACTTTCAAAGTCCGAACTCTATGCAAAATCAGACAGCAAGCATCGCTCGCCAAAACTCTGGGACCTTGAGTCATGAATATATGCTGTCTCTGAGACATATGTACAGGATTCTAATGTGGTGACTGAATTGACCCCACCTAACCAGTGCGATGTTTTTTCAAAATACACCGTGAGAGTATCCGGAGACCCAGTCATCAACTCCAGTGGAGTCGATGGTGCACCCACAGTATTGAGCTGTAGGGCAGAAAGCGCGCTTTTTGACTGGATCCAAGTCAACAGCCGTCTATGTCCTATTCGACTGAATTAATCTGTAGGAACTAGGAAAGAGCGGGAGAGCAAACGATGCCTATTCGTAGTCCCCGCGTACGCACCGACCGAATGTAGTTCGGATGATGCAAAGGGTGGATTCTATCAGGCGTCAATTTCGCTACAGAAAGCAAAACGTTTAGATGTAGTCATAATGGCGGGTGACTTTGACGCCTAAGTAAGGGAGCTGCACCAATCGGAAGGGCATCTTCGGGGTACTCACGGAACTCCATGCCAACAAACCAATAACGGTGATCGTCTCTTGCAATTTGGCTATGCCAATTAATCGTTTCTCGTCAGCACTACTTTACGGTATAAAGAAATACACCACCTCATAGGGCATCAAACTAACGATGAATTCAGACCAAACATATTGCTATAAGGCATTGTTGGGGAGGGTCAGTGAGGGACTACGGCTTTCTGCAGTTCTAGTTTGGATTCCGAGCACAACCTAGTGTATGTCTGCCCCTTGCTAGCCGAAGGAAAAAAGCGATAGTAAAGCCTGTCTATGGTACCATGAAAGATAAGGACGTCAAGCAGACATTAAGAGAGAAGATAGCTAAGCATTTATCTGAACATGATAGCAATGCTCATTATGAGGGAACCTGGCGTGATATCAACTCTGCTATAGGAACATAGATAAAGACAGCTCGTAACTTCTACCCGGAAATTAAAAAAGCCACTAGATTTTCGAAACATCCCAACTTGCTTGATAAGATGCAACAGCACAAACGAACGGTTAAAACGTTATCTCAATTCAGATGTAGAAGGCTCGTTCCGGAATTCGCCAACTTGCATCGTGTGGGGCTAACTGGCGAGATATATGACTATAGAAGGACGAGCATAGTGCGCTGCAGTTCGTTCTGTCATGTTATACAGCTGACATGCCCGTTAAAAGTAGAAGATATGAAGCGATTACAGAGTTTTGATCACAGATGTCTTGTAGCCACGCCCGCGTTTGATGGAATCATCGTGTGAACAATATTGAGGTCAGGTGAACGGTACTAGGTAAAATAGGCAAGCTGACTGATGGGGTTGTGAACCTTAGTCGAATGAGATGGCTTGGACGTGCACTATGCATTCCGATCCACTGCCCACGTTGACGTGCCATGCCATGGGAAAGTTGAACTAGGTGGGAAGACGGTTCAGGGTGGCCTGGCCTGTATGTAGCACCGGTGCATAAAGTCCGTAACTGTTAATCTGAGCCGTATGGGAGGATGTGGGCTTTTTGGTTGGGATCCCCAGGGTGATAAGAATCAGTAGTTTCGGACTCTTGTTGACATGGCTGAGAACCGGTCACAATGGTGCAGATGTAGTCACTTATTGACATCTAAAACTTGAATATTTACACTAACCTTTATCTTCAAACTGCTTATTCTCTCGCACTACTCTGATATCAGTATTTTTCTATCTACTTGTTCTTCGTATACTACTGTGAAATGTGGCAATGTGAGTTGATGCACATGCCTGCGAGTTTTTTTCACATTGATTTTTTCATTTCACATCACCTGATCACAAGGAAGATTGATCAGAATTAAAATAGGTGTTAGATGTCGTAAAACAAAGAGGAATAAAGAACAATGTGATAGCACCGTTGCACAAAAGTAAGGTGTGGATTTGGCTTCATTTTCACCCATAATGCTTGGAAATCTTTAGCGACCGATTTGGGTTGTTTTGCGGACTGAGCTTGACTGCCTTTATCTTCTCGCTTAGTATTACTACAGTTCATATAGTGTGGTGTGGTAGATATTCGGTGGGTATGTGTAACGTCTTCCGCCACTGAGTTCAATGTATGGCGTAAACTTGTAGGATGGAAAATTCAAGAACACTCGTTTTTACATAGGCTATCAGACGTTAGTAGTACAAATTTCGCAAACCGACTGTAAGCGACCAAGTTCTTCATATTCTTGCGTAAACTTCGCCAACCGCATGTACCAATGAAAGCTTTCATCAGTACGATGATTAGGATGAAGGCAATGAGTGGGTGCTCCTGCAACATTACGATGGATTCTGAGTCACACTTAAATTCTGCAGACACCGACGGCGGTTGTCATGTGGATCTCGATCAGGAAGTGTATTTCCCAACCCAGACTAGCAGTCAAAGATCTAGCCTCGTCCACCATTTCCCAGTTACAATCTACTTCAGTCTTGTATATGCAACAAAGCAGACGGTGGCTAGGCATGTATAACACATGTCTCAACCACCTAAGTCGATGAAGGTTTACAAACGTGTCAAGTGATTTTCCTCTTCTCCCTAAAACTCCATTTAATTTCTACGTCACTGATGTGACGACCCTATGACGCACTGCCCGTGCTACGAAGGCAACAGTTGTCGAACATTTGATTCCCCCTCATGTACACTACATTTAATGGCGACGTTTCACAAGGATAGGGCAGAAAAAAGAGCTCAAAACACTAAGCCCTTAACTGGTAACCGCATATTCTGTTGGCACCATAGATGACATACGTTGGAAAAAGTAAAGCGGATCCTGTGTGTCAATACACAGGCTTCGCTTATTAATCCATCAAAGCTGCTCCGACTGATTAAGATGGTCAGAGACTAGTCGCTTCACTCCTATTGTCAGTTGAGGCACCAACACATACCAGTCCTAAAGCAAAAATTTGCCTTTCGGTGATGATCGAATCCCTTAGTCAAATTTCCACTCATGATGTGGGGGATTGCATCTTGAAAGCGTCTTCACCTAACAGGATTGTCACTTAAGCACTCTAGATCAACTCTGTGACAACGCTGATTTCGATAGAGTCAGACAGGAAGAAAGACATCTAAATAAGTGCGTCTTTCACAAAGTCCAATAAAAATGAAGAGTGGACATCTTCCATGGAAACAATTCACTATGAACTCTAGCACGACTAAGCATATTTGAATATAGAGCATTCAACGGTGATGTACTTACCTGGCATTCCTTTCAGTGAGAGAGAACCTCTCGATAGACGCAGTCGGTCATGCTCACACTGAGAAATGCTAACTAGGCTCCGGTGTCAGTGTTCCAAAGTCTGGCAAGGAATGCGAATATGGTTTTTACATCCAAGAAAAGGTTTGAAACCTTTATGACTTCCTCCAGTTTTTTGTTCTTGACGTCTTAACGTCTAGTGACTATAGAGCCTAGAATCTTATGCACTATTTTCGTCAGGGTGATTCTTCTATGACCACAGGATTTCTCTCCTTTCTTTAACACTAGGACAATTAGCAATTGAGATCAGTTAGGAGGGATCATATCTGACTTCCACACACTAGCTAAAACTCCTATTAAACCTGACCAATAATCGTCCACCAGTATGTCCCATACTAGTCAATCTGATCTTCCTGCTTTTCTCTGTTTTAGGTTACTGAAAACTTTCTCGACTTTTGTAAGAGATAAAGGGTGTCTTAGCGCTCCACTCGAGATGTAACTCGATAGAGGATAACCAAGGAGCAGTTAGAGGTCAGTCAAGCTGTTCTTCAAATGATTGCAATCATCGTTTTAGCTCTCTTATGATTGAATCGCAGACCAAAGCTTCTTCGCTGTGACCTCACTGTCTTTTGCACATTCTTTTGATACGTCTAGATAATTGTATGTCGTTCGCTAGAAGGTGAACATCAAAGTGTATTTGAAGGATGATTGAAACTAATTGTTGCAGTGTTTTTGCTAATGGTTTTGTAAGTAGATTACTAACCTGCCTGTTCAAACTATGACTACTAATCACCAGATTCTCAAGTAAATTGTAGTTAATTATACTCAGTTCTTAAGCTTTTATTTCTGCTCACTCTTAGAAAACTACCACTAACTACTCTTTTATTTTCCGTTGCTATAGGTCACTTGTGATATATATATATATATATATATATATATATATATATATATATATATATATTCCTAGTGTCTGTGTATACAACTCTAAGGACCGCTTGCCTTAGGGCTCATTCATGAGGACTTCAGCAACCTAAGCGAACTGTTTAGAGAATATAGTATTACAACTATTGCAAAAGTGGTTTTTGTGCAACCATATAACTGAATATTAATGATAAGAGCAGACTCACGTAAAGAATACACTTTTGACTGGGGCTGAGATTATAACAATAAGCCCCAATGATGTGCTCCATGCCGGGCCTGATCGACGTGACAGCAACCAGATGGCGTAGAACACCACAAATGTATCAACCTGAGAGTTATAAAATCTAATGTGATATCTTACCAAGTCCAGGTTCGCCTCATAACTCAAACACAAGTAGCTCCAGTCAAATTCTAGCCCACGTGTACCAACCCAAATGAGGACATACCTAAGACTTACTTTCATATTATTAACTTACTTTGTTGCAACTAATGATGAAATTGACCAACCTAAACTGGATGCGATAACACCGAACTCATTTCTGCACAGTGACCCGCGCACGATCATGCTTATAACTATAATTTCCAGTATGACCCCGAAAACGTCCTAGTTCAGATATGACCATAGTTTAGGGAATACAAACATACGAATGTAGTAGAATCAAGTATCGAGGACAAGTAGTAGTGGGGAGTCAATGTCACCAAAAAGAACTTTAGCATCTGCGTAAGTGCGTAAAGACATGCGATTTTGCAACAACTCCAGAATGCTTCATTCTCTCGCCTGTATCAAATGATATAAATAAACGCATGTAACGTACATCCCAGTTGATTTGTACACCAACAAATGAGGTCCAGTTGCCAGAGCCAGACAGTTAGCGAGATGAAAGAAACCCATTAATTTCTTGACGTTAAATTGTTACCAAAAACGTCGAGAAAAACACGGGAACCTGGAACAACCAAAGATAAGCAGGAATCAAAGGACAAGTGGAACTTACGCACGTCAGAAGACTCAGCTTATGCTCAATTATAACAAAGAAGTGAACGGTATGGTGATGTTAAAACTAAAAACCAGTATGACGGGCGCCTGACAACGCAGATATTTAGTCCGCCCTCGCGCGCGAAACTAGTGTCTGAACTTCAAACTTCGTGTAGTAGAATTAGTGTCTAAATAATTTCTGATTGCTGAATATTTGCTCGCCCATCATTCTAATGTTGTTATCATACTGTACCACTTGTTGACAAAGGGCAGAATCTCTTTTATGTCACTCCAGGTTATGCGTAGGTCATCCTGGGAGAGAGAAAAACCCGTTGATGCCTACTTCGTCCTAGATATTCAGGTCATCGGCACATAATAATGAATGCGAATTTGGGACCGCATATATGTCATTTTTTGAGAGCAGCGAAGAGTAATTCACCAGTATCCATCTTATTGAGCATCATGAGCCATTGAGGGACTGACTGATCGCATCCGATTGTCACCACAGCTGGTCAACCATTTCAGTACACTCCTATTCATTCATACTAGGTGAAGTTTTTGCACTTTATATGGTGATTTACCCTATCGAAGGCCGTAGATTAGTCAGGCATGCCGACGTGAGGCCGATTTCTCTGCCACGCAGAGAAATTATAGCTTATGTAGGCTGTTAACAAGCCGCCAAACATGGCGTGTAAGGCAGAAGCATGTATCTTAAGTCCTCTAGGACAAGGTACTGAGGTTATTATTCAACTAAGGAGTTTTTAACAATTCTGCATGTCTTTCGGGGTCGAAGAGACCAGGTGAATAGGTCTGTTGTAGCAGATAGCATGTTTATTTCCACCTTCAGATTTTGAGGCCACTGCCGCTGGATCCCGATGCGAGGGCTATCTTCCCTCTAGACATGAACAATTGAAGGGATTTGCTGGTATAGGGCTCATAGAAGCCAGTGCACTTAACGGACACTCCTGGGCAAACTCTATAGGATCCTTAAGATCAGTGAAGATTCAAGCGCCAAAGATTCCCCAGGTTCTAGATAGGTTACCTTTTAATCAATGGTATCTGCATAGTTTGAGCGTTTGTCTGGAGAGACTTTGTCTTTCCTCAAAAATAGTGTTAGATGCTGCTTCAGTTGACTTAGCAATCTCATTCTGATATCAACAAACTTAGTTGAGTGAAGACTACACATGAGTATCAAGAATTTGAATTGACCATGGGTGACGGGTCTCACTTTGATTTTTTTGCATTCACGATTTCCGATATCAACGTGTGCGAGAGAATCATCATTCTCATTCATAGTCAGTTTGAGACAGTGGTATCTGGAACTGAAAATAAACAAATGATCTCCAAAGTATTGTCTTAGGGCTAGAATTTTGGCATTGGAGGAGCAACCTCTTGGGTTCTGCAGGGGTGTGTTATCGTAATATTGATTCGATTATGACGCATCAAGTTTTAGAAGGAGTAGGACTTTCCATGAATCATCTTAGCCGCAGAAATCAACTCTAAAATGGTGTTCATACCTTCGGCAACAAGTGTCGAGTGCTACGTTAGCGTGTGAATCGTCACGAAATTCATTCATGCTGCTCGCAACTCCGTTCAACGAAGCAGCTGATGAAGCAGGGGTAGAATTAGATGATTCAGCGTGAAAACTTTTGAATTGAGCAGTTGGCTCAATAATCTTCATTTGATGGTCGAGAAATCTTTCCAACTTCGAAATGACTACCGCCCAACATCTCACGCGGTAAGGTAGAATCTATACGCTTCTTTTTCACGTGGTTCTTGATTATATCAATTTACAGATTTCCTGTTGTGTCTGACCACTTATTACTATATTTTTGTGGTAATATTTCAGTCCATTCCATATGTTTGGCTTACAGTTCCGCTATTCTCCTCACATACTGTATTACCAACGTTTCGGTATACTGCGTATAACCGTTCGCTGTTTTTCGATTTTAACGTCTTTTTAAATGGGAAGATCTAGGGCTAAACGTTCTAAAATCGACTGTTTCAGTGAGAAAAAACAAAGACTTGGTCATTCCAGTGCTCTTCTGTGTGACAGAAGCATTGTTACTCCGTATAACTCAGATCTCGACGATCTGGTATGCCCCACGCCTTTTGTCAGGACCCAAGACATCATATCAGTCGTGCGTAGCAGCATTAAAGACCACAGGAAAGAAATCGATAACATTAAGACCATGATGGAAGAGATTCGGAAAATGGTTGGGGATTTCTATCCATTAGCACATCTAGGGAAGCATGAGAATTTAGTTGAAGACCATGTGGTGAAAGCAGAAAACCTGATAGACCACTTGGCGATGGAGGTACTGAAGGGACTATCGTCGTCCCAACAGGCCATCGTTTATAACATACCTGATACCCTACCCCTGGATGAAGTTAAGGTACAGGCGTTAAACTCATGCGGTATGACAGGAATACACTGTGACTGTAAGCACCTCCGCAAAAAGTCAGCGCAGTCTAGCTGCTCCATGATCTCCAAGTTCACTACTTCACTTGATGCCAAAAGATTTACTAAACTACAAGACCACATTGGGTTACATAGCAGCCTTAAAAATATTGCTATTGCACAAGACAAAACCGTGTGCCAACGCAGAAAACAAAAAAGGAGTAGTCTGACCAGTTCATCACCTTTAAACATAGAGGCTGCTGTGTGCACGAACAGACCTTCATAAAGTGCTGACATGGTCAGTACTTCTGTTGGGTATACCTCTTCCTCGGTACAACAGTCTCAGTCAAATCTAGCTACAAGCGAACCTGATCCTTCAGTTGCTCGCGAGAGGAAAACCATTGGTATCCCTAAGGTCACCATAAACAGAAGACCGCTGGGTGACAGAAAACTCAGAAGTTCGGGTGAAACCCCACCATCTAGAGCTAAAACGCTTTTGGAGAAGGATCATTACAGGCGCATGCTTTCTAATGACGGAAAAGAATATTTCATAGCTGAGACACTAGCAATACACGAACCCAAAGGGCGAGTTAACCGTCAAACCCCTTTCTCAGAAATGAGTGCCACAACAACTCGAGGTTGTACCACATGAGACACTCCTTCGGACCACGTCCCTTTAATCACAGGGGTCACAACGTGGTGCCGAGTAGCGTACTGAACGCTCAAATGTCCTACATACCACAAACACCTAACCACTGTTCAGCTGTGCATCTTAATAATCCTAGTCAGTGCTTTGGAAACAGATGTACGCCCCCTGCAAGAAACTTCTTCACTTATGAACCCTACCAAGATTTTTTCGGATCCCGCACGATACGTGCGACCCATGGTATTTAGGTCCCTTCCACCCCCTGATAACACAGGGCTGGAACCAGTTTCCTCTACATACACCAGTCATAAACCATACCTTACGTCAACAATAAAAAAGAGGTGCACGTTAACAACCTATAAGTGCCATGAAAAACTAAGTAATCATATACTTGTGAGAGACAGAAACTCACCGGTCACACCGGCACACCCCACTGTTGAGTCCTGTCACGTCCGAGACATAGGTAGTGCATCGTCTAGAGAACTGAATCCTGGAAATTTTTCCGCCTACCGAGGCTTAAGAGACATAGTTACTTTGCAAGCTATAATAGCCTTTTCACGCTTCCACTTATTAATGCCCGCTCGGCACTCAAGAAAATATCCGATCTTAGAACAATAATTTTGCTGGCCAAACCCTCTGCATTATTAGTTACTGACTCAATCCTAGACGTGGACATGTGTGTAGATGGTTATACTCTGTATCGCACTAATCGTGACCACAAGCGAGGTGGAGGCTGTTTGATCTATGTGTGAAGCCTTGCTACCTCAAGATTGAAGATGATATCTTCAATGATCTGCCGGACTCACTTTGGATCGTTATAAACGGTACCAACTACAAGATCCTCATAGGCCGTGGGTATAAAACACCATGTTCAACAAAAGAAAACGATGAACTGATGGCTAGATCACTTACCTACGCTGGGTCCCTCACTGTTGACTTCAAACTGATTGCAGGTGACTTTAACTTACCTGAAGTTAACTGGTAGGTCGGTCGCGGCCCACAACGATTTGAAGAAATGCTTGCTGTCACAGATATCTATGGCTGGAGGCAATACGTCCAGCAACCCACGCTTGGAGATAGTACACTGCACCTGGTCTTTCGCTGTGACACCATCCCTGTCACTACCCACATTAGTAGCGAATTTTCTAAGTGACCACAGGATAGTACTCTGTTGTTTACCAATTCTTCCACCCAATGAGAAAAAACAATCTTCAAATTATACTCGGCATAGAAGCTATAAGAATATAGAGTGGGAAGTACTCATCGAGCTACTAAGGTGCTCTCCACGGGATGACTACTTTACCACAGCCTCATTAACACGCACACTCACTTTTCTACAGAAATATAGAGCTGTGTCTAGATACTGTTGCTCCCGTGGAAACAGTTGGGGTTTATAAGGAGCCGGACCTATATACCCCTAAAATATTCCGCAATAAACTCGGGAAATTATCATCACATTACCACTCGTCGAAAGACTTCCTGTCACTGCGCTTAATTCATGAGACTTACAAAGTTATCAAGACACTACGTGCGAAACACGCAGTAAACGAAGAGATCGCCGCTCCCAAAAGTGGCCCTAGAATACACAAGTTGACATCCCTTGTGAGTAAATGTCTGAAGCCATCAACGGGCGTAGCCTATCCACTACGTAAAGGGGTGGTACACAGCGATCCCCTCAAGATTAGCGAACTGTTGTGCGGATCATTCGCTAATTTCAACCCTAATGCCCTCAATCCCACCAGCTTTACTCCAATTACCGCTAGTTCACGTGCTAGAGTGGAGTTCACTGTCAAAAGTATCGCTGAGGCTATCAAAAGCCTGAAACTATCGACAGGTGCAGGGATAGATGGCCTAAACTCAATGGTCATCAGAAACAGTGGTGATGACTTGCCACTGGCCTTGCTTAAGATATTACACTATCAATGGAAAGTTGGGAGAATCCTAGCGAGTGGAAAACTAGCTTTATAATTCCTCGCTACAAGTCCAGTGACAAAGCGAATGTTGGGAACTACAGACCTATCGACACAGCTCCAGTCGTCTCCCAAATCATGGAAAAAGTGATTGAGCTCAGCGTGTCTGACTTCCTACTTAGAGAAAACCTCAGCACAAAATCTCAGCACGGT